TAGAGAGCAGTAAAGAAATATGAAAGTTGGAAGAGAAGAGGATAAGTGAAAAAACAGAAGAAAAGAAGGAAAAACAAAAGCAGAGATAAAAAGGATAAATTTAAAGGGAATGGAAAGAGAAGAAGGAAGAGAAAGAATAAAGAAAAACAATGAAAAAACAAAAGGAAAAAACCAAATCCAAAACAAAAAGAAACAGTGCATCTTTTGGACCTTTAGAGGATAAAACTCTGGGGGGCTCCTGCAAGCCAAGGAGCTCACGAGGTGGGTGGGGGAGGGCTGTGACAGCCGAGTTCCTAACTTTAGATTGAGTTCCTATCAGTCTTAGTATAATCTATGTTCAGGGCACTCAATCTGGAAGTTGTTCTTGGAGGCCCTTGATGGAGGTAGTTTCGGTGTCTGTTAGGATCACAGGTCAGCTGGGGGCAGGGTGACTGGTTAAATACTGGTCTGGTGATTCTTCAGGTTCTGTAGGTCTAGAGCCAATCCAACCTGAATACACCCACCAAAGCATGGCACCAAAGTGCCTCACACTGGTATGGCTTCCCACCACGTGGCTCTGAAATCCTTGGGAGCAGGGTTTGTGCTGTGAATGAGGGTGAGAGCTAGCCACACCTCTTCACCAAGAGAGTGCATCCTCACAATTTTTTTTGAGCCCCCCCAAGGTGAGGGTTTTCCTCTTTTTTGCTGACCTTCCACTTTAGCTTTAGCTAGCATAATGTCCTTCTTCTGATAATATGTCTGAAGTATGACAGACAAAGTCTGGCCATCCTGGCTTCTAAGGAGCATTCTGACTGTGCTTCTACCAACACAGATTTGTTTGTGCTTCTGGCAGTTCATGGTACTTTTCAATATTCGTCTCTAACACTGTAACGCAAATGCATCCGTTCTTATACAGTCTTCCTTATTCATTGTCAAACTTTCACATGCACATGAGGCAATTGAAAATAACATGATTTGGGTCAGATGTACCTTCATCTTCAAACTGTTATCTTGTTCAGCAGATTTGCCTAAAGCAGTACATCTTTAGATTTCTTGACTGCTGTTTCCGTGAGTGTTAATGGTTGATTCAAGCAAAATGAAGTCCTTGACGACTTTAATCTTTTCTCCATTTATATTATCCAGTGGTGAGGATTTTTGTTTTCTTTACTTTGAGGTGCAACCCATACTAAAGGTTGTGGTCTTGATCTTCATCAGTAAGTATTTTAAGTCCTCTTTGCTTTCAGCAAGCAAGGTTGTATCATCTGCACATCACAGGCTGTTAATGAGTCTTCCTCCAATCCTGATGCTACCACGTTCTTCTTCATATAATCCAGCTACTTGAATTATTTGCTCAGTGTACAGATTAAATAAATATGATGAAAACATGCAAACCTGGTGCACACTTTAGCTGATTTAAAACCATTCAGTATCCCCTTGTTCTTTTCGAATGACTGCCTCTTGGTCTATGTATAGGTTCTTTGTTGGCACAATCAAGTGTTCTGGAAAACCTATTCTTCAAAGTTATCCACAGCGTGTCATGATCCACACAGCTGTAAGCCTTTGCATAGTCAATAAAGCACAATTAGATATCTTTTTTATATTCTTTGCTTTTAGCCAAATGAATCTGATGTCAGCCCAGATATCTCTAGTTCTACATCTCTTCTGAATCCAGCTTGAGTTTCTAGTAGTTCCCTGTTGATATATTTTTGTAACCATCCTTGAATTATCTTCAGTAAAATTTTACTTACATGTGATATTAATGATACTGTTCAATGGTCTCCACATTCCATTGGGTCACCTCTCTTTAATGGGCACAAATATTGATCTCTTCCAATCAGCTGTTCGGGTAACAGTCTTCCAAATTTCAGGACATAGAGGAGTGAGTGCCTCCAGTGCTGCATCAGTTTGTTTAAAGATTTCAATTTGTTTTCCATCAATTCCTTGAGTCTTGTGTGTCACTAATACCTTCTGTGCAGTTTAGACTTCTTCCTTCAGTACCATCGGTTCCTGATCATGTACTACCCATTAAAATGGTTGAACATAACACCGTTTATTTTTGGTAGACTGAATCCATGTATTCCTTCCATCATCTTTTGATGCTTTCTGCATCATTCTATAGTTTTCCCATAGAATACTTCAATATTAAATTTTTCTTCAGTTTTTTTTTTTCAACTTGAGAAATGCTGAGTGTGTTCTTCCCTTTTGGTTTTCTAACTCCGAGTCTTTGTACATTTCATTATAATATTCAACTTTGTCTTCTTGAGCTGACCTCTGACATTTTCTGTTCAACTCTTTGACTTTCTCATTTATTCCATTCACTTTCATACCTCTGTGGTAGAGAGCAAGTTTCAGGGTCTCTTTTGACATCATTTTGTATTTTCTTTACTGTTTTGTTTTGTTTTTTTAATCTTTAGCTTTCTTGTTGTGTGATGTTCTTGATGTCATCCCACAACTCTGGTCTTCGGTCACTAGTGTCTAATGCATCAAATCTGTTCTTAAGTCTATAAATTCAGGTAGGGACTTCTAGTGTGGCACTGTAAGATAAGCACTGAACTGCTAATTTGCAAGGTTAGCCGTTCAAACCCAGCAGCCACTCTTGGGAAACCTTATACAGGGTCACTATGAGTCGCGATATTTCAATATTCTGGTGCTATCCAATAGTGTTTCACTGCTATTCATAAGGTTTTCAGTGGCTACACATTCTAAAGTTGTCCACTTCTCCTCCTTCCAAGTCTGTCTTGGTCTGGAAGCTCAGCTGAAATCTGTCTGCCCCTGGTGACCCTGCCCCACAGTGTGATAAACTGACAGAAAAGTATTGGATTTTGGTTATATTTTGACTCTCGCGGACTTGTTTTAATTTTCTTTAACTTCAACCTGAACAATGGATGGTCCATTCCACAGTCAGCTCCTGCCCTTGTTTTCCACCCTCTTCTTCTACAGATGTAGTCAATTTGATTCCTGTGTAGTCCATCTGGTAAGGTGCATGTGCATAATCTCCTTTTATGTTGTTTTAGAAAAGGTGTTTGCTATGAAGACGTCGTTGGTCTTACAAAATTCTGTTGTGCGATCTCCAGTATCATTTCTGTCACCAAGGCTTATTTTCCAACTGCTGATCCTTCCTGTTTGTTTCCAACTTTCACCTTCCAGTCACCAGTAATTATCAACTCATTTTCATTGTATGTTTGATCAATTTCAGACTGAAGTTGGTAGAATTCTTCAGTATCACCATTGTCTTTCGTGGTTGGTGCATTAATTTGAAGAATAGTGGTATTAACTGGTCTTCCTTGTAGGCCTATGGGTATGAACCTATCACAGACAGTATTATATTTCAAGATAGATCTTGAAATGTTCTTCCTGATGATGAATGCTATGCCATTCCTTTTGAATTTGTTTATTACATGATTGTCAGATTCAAAATGACCAATACCAGTCCATTTCAGCTCACTAATAATGCTTAAGATATCACTCTTCATGTGTTCCATTTAATTTTTGACAACTTCCAGTTATCCTACATTCATACTTCGTATATCCCATGTTCTTATTATGAATGGCTGTTTGCAGTTGGTTCTCCTCATTTTTGAGTTGTGCCCCTTCAGCAAATGAAGATCCCCCAAGCCTTCCTCCATTCATATCATCACAGTCTACTCTTCTTTGAAGAGGCGGTTCTTCCCCAGTTATATTTTAAGTGTCTTCCAACTTGAGAGCTCATAATTGTTGGTTGCTTTGGAGTCCCTAGGTAGTGCAAGCAGTTCATGTGTTTGGCTGCTAACCAAAAGTTTGGAGGTTCAATTCCATTCAGAGGTAGATGCCTCAGAAGAAAGACCTAGAGGGGAAGGGGTGTGAGGATGAGCTTCTCAGTGCTGGGGTAGATTCTATTTCCCAAGACAATTCTGTTCCAGGTTTAGTTCTAGATCTTGTCATTTCCTGATTGGTTTCCCAGTACATTTATTCATGGATCTTGTTGGCTTCAGGTCTCATAATCACTGAGTCACTGTACTTCTTAGTAATAAAATGGCAAATGATGGTGTGTGACATTTTGACAGTATTTAGGTCCACACCGTGGAAATAGACCAAGTGGGTAAGCATCAGTGATGTGTCATCTCCCATTGTATTCAAATGGATTCACTAGCTAGGATATTTTTCTTTGTTCTCAAGTCAGTTGTTTAGTTTTTAAGCCATAACTCAACTAGAGTGATAAACATAAGCACACAAATACTCTATTGTATTTTGATACAACAGCAACCAATACAGTTACCATTAGGTTGAGAAAGGTAATATCAACATAGGTGAGCTTTACGAATTCACTGTGAGTATTCACTGATTAATGAAGGACTTTAGCTTATTTTGCTGACTGTTAGGTGAAAGAGATACAACTGTTTCTCCACTAACATCTCTTGAAAAAATGCAATTTGGTTGACTCTGACTGTGGAGTTGATCTGTTTTGTGTGTTCATCCTCTTAACAATAGTGGAAAAGTTATGGTTCATTTACCTCTCATGAAACAGATTTGCACACACACACACACTCCCACTTAAGGGATCTAGGGATGTATTACCTCAATGATCTTTACTTTCTGTAAGGGTACAAGCTGTGGCTTTGGTAATTGGTCTTGATTGTCGAGTTTAGAAAGCCAGGAACACGGCAATCCTAGCCTCCAGTACTATGCTCAAAAACATGCGCTACCCAGCACAGCCTTCTCTGCAGCATGTTAATTCACTTTAAGAAATGTTAAAGTTTCAGGGATCTCATTGTTCTTTTACTCTTCTGTGTATATGATTTACTTTTTTATATGATTTATTTTACACAAGTATAAATCAAAACACATTCTTGGAACATTTAAGATCTCTTTAAGGTATTTTTTGTGTGCTTATCCTGGAAGTATAGAATACTGTGTATACCAGAGCTAATGACAACAGACCTTGTAGTGTTTCTGTGTTGTAACAATCGCCACTGGGCAGACAGCTGCCAAACATCTTGCAATTAATCTGATGCACGTTGGTTTTCATATTCTTTTTCTTTCAGAACAAATGCCCTGAGGTAGAGGAGTTGGTCTTCAGCCATTTTGTGATCTGTAATGACACACAGGAGACACTGCGGTTTGGCCAGGTGGATACTGATGAAAATGTTCTGCTGGCGAGTCTCCGTAGTCACCAGTACAGCTGGCGTTCTCACAAATCCCCACAGGTATTGAAGAAACAGCCTTACAAATGCAGCAGTTGTTCAGGTTGAGGGTTCATGTATTCTTCGCAGTGTGCCTAAGTCCAGTTATTTTCTTTTTAAACTTTCCCAAGAAAGCACACAGCATAGCTACATCTGACGGAAATGTAGAAATGTGCAGAGATAGGCACCCATACTTCTCTTGGAACAGAACTTTTTCCTGTTTACTAAGCATGGGTGCTGTCTGATCAGAGAGGTGTAGTGATTAAGAGGTTGCACTTTAAAGCCAATATATGTGGGTCTGTGTCTCCATTTTCTCATATGTAGAATGGGGATGGTGATGGTACCTGTTTCAGAGGGTTGTGAGGATTCAATGAGTTCATACGAGGGGCTTCAAAAAATTCATGGGAAAATGGAATTAAGAGAAAATGGAATTGTTCCATGAGCTTTTTATGAAAGCCCTTTCATATGTATATACTGTCAGCCTTGCGTGTTGGATACTATTACTCATGCATTTATTCCAGGTTTTACGATGTACATACTCTGTCAGTCATATAGTAGGTGCTGCATTCTTAGACAGGTGAGGCACAGCCCTTGTCCTGCAAGTGCTCATGATCTGTGACCAAGTGAGCACAATGACAAAATATGCCCAAGGGAGCACTGAAAAAAGACATACCAAAGGATGTCTGTTTTGCAAGTAGTATAATTCCATTTTCCTGTCACTTTAGATGGGAATAATTAGAGGGATGTGCCCTGCAGGGATAATATGAGGATGAATTAAATGCAAAGATGTGGTCTTAAATGAGTAAAAGAAATCCTAGGAAGTACTCTCAAGAATAATGTATTTCTAAAACTCTGGATAATAAAGAAACTACTGTCTGCTTATGATTAAAAGAAAGTCATTAGATTAGAGAACAAGTTTTCCCATCTGGCCTATAGACCAGCTTCAGAATTTGTTAAACCCTCAGGCTCCATCTTTTTTTTTCCAGAAGCTAGATTCTGATTTCTTACTTGCTTTTGCATCAGATTGCCATGCTATTGGGCTAATATTTGAAAAAGTAGCTGCAGTGCAGTACTATTGAAAAATATTTACTGAGTTGAAATTAATCTGTCACAATAGTCAAACTACAGAAATCTTTTTAAAATAAAAATCTGTTCAAAGATTCCTCACATGACAGAACATTATACTTAGATTTTTTAGAGTGAATCACATGCCCTTCGGATTTTTCTCCTGAGAAATTTCCATGTTAGAGAGTTTTTCAATTGTTTACCCCTTCTTCTTGTTAGAGTTTAAAACAAGGAAACTTTTTGTTATTTGTCTTAAAATTGAGTTTCTTTTTGTTATTCTTATTGATTGAAAAGTGAGGACACACAGATATATCTGGAGTCCTGGTATGGTGCTGCAGATTAACGTGCTGGACTGCAAAGCCAGTTTGAACTGCAAGGTCAGTGGTTCAAGCCCACCTGCTGCTTCTCAGAAACCCTATACAGGGTTGCTATGGGTCAGAGCTGATTTGATGACACTTAACAACAGCAACAACAATAGATATATAGTAAAGATGGAACTAAAAGATAATGGGCTTCTTTCATGAGCTTTTTGAAGTTGCTCAGAGATCACCACTGCTCCCATGTATCCCACCAAACAAAAAAACAGCAAAAAAAAAAACCCGACCTCTGATCCCAGCCACACAGAGATAACCCATGTAAACACTTGGTAAGCAGCCTTTTAAATTTTCTGAAAATCTCCATGGTGATTACATTCCCAGCAATGACATTAGGACAGAAAGAAAGCCTCTGAGGAGCTGCAGTAATGGGTCATTGTACCTTATCTCCCGCATTGACACACAGCAAGCTACAGGCCTTAGCCAGTAGCAAACAAAGCTTAGAATAACATGACCTGCATTGACCTGCTGCAACCCCCCCTCCCCCCAGGTACTGGAGCTAGCATGAGAAGAGGGTCCCAGGGACAGCTGGCTCTGCAGTGTGGGGAAACAGTAGTCCTCACACTGAGGACAGACAGGCTCTGGGTGGATAGGAGAGCCACAGGAGAGAAAAATGGACCATTGCCACCACCACCTTTTCATGTCTGTGTTCCTTTACTTTTTTAAGTCTTTTTTCTATCTTTTTCTCAGTTCAGTTCCATAACATCCCTGTGTGGTTCATATTGTTTGTTATGCACATTTATAGATAAGGAGACAAATAAACGCTAGAAAGCTGCACAGTGGTAGTTGTTGTTGTTGTTAAGTGCTGTCCATTGAGTCAATTCCTATATAGAGTTTCCAAGGAGCAGCTGGGCAGCTTGAACCACCGACCTGGCAGTTCAAACGACTTTGCAGGCTGATGGCATTAGCCCACAGCGCCACACCAGTAGAGTTGGGACTAAATCCCACATGTACTGAGCCTCAATACACATACCTCATTTTATTGTGCTTCGCAGAGACTGAATTTTTTTTTATTTTAATATAAATTGTAGATTTGTGTCAACCCTGTGCTGAGCAAGTCTATCAGCACCAACTTTCCAACAGCAGATGCTCACTTCCTGTATCTGTGTTACATTTTGGTAATTCCACACAATATTTCAAATGTTTTCATAATGCTATTGCACACGTAATAGACTAAAGTATAGTGTAAAATAACTTTTATATGCCCTGGTAAACCAACAATTTTGTGTGATTTGCTTTATTGTGATACTTCATCATGACCTGGAACCAAACCTGCAATATTGCTGAGGTATGCCGGTCTTGTTACTTCCACAACATAGTCTTGCTCCACTAGGTTTTGGCAACGTGATTTGTCAGTTAGAGTAGCCAAGCTGTGAGGCTTTAAGAGAAGAGCTGAGAAATCACAGGTATAGTGTTCTCATCTAAAGCTAGACTAACACGTGATTTTCAGTCAAGTATTAATCCTGGCAAAGCAACTCTTATCACCAAAGCTGTTGTTTCACTGTTAAGTGCCTTCAACTTGGTTCCAACTCATAGTGACCCTGTGTAGGGTTTCCGAGGAGCAGCTGGTGGGTTTGAATTGCCAGCCTTGTGGTTCATCGTCCAGTTCTGATCCTTCGGTACCACAATCTTTTAATGACAAACTGAAAACCTCAGACAGGGATCTCTTAAACTTTCTTTTTAAATTTGTAACTGATGATGAGTATCTTGTGAATGTTAGCTAATTCAAAGGTGATCTGCTGTCATTGTAATCTTCTTAAGCTAAATTTCTAGATCAAATTTGCAGCAAACAGCGTTGCTCTATTACATCTGCACATACACAGAAGGCAGTGTGTTTTAAGGCCCTCTGAAGCTAGCGTTCTTAATAGTCCCAGAGGGTCTTCATGGAATTCCTTATATCCACAATTACAAATTCTACTGTGTCCTAATGAGAGGTTACATTTAAGGATCAGGAAAACTAGCCACTTAGCTTCAAGCTGCACCTGGAGGCAGTCATAGATGTACAACTGAGCAAAATGTTCCCCTCTCCAGACTCCAAGTCATATCCTGCCTTGCCCAGCAGGCTTGATTTTAGGAACATTTGTGTCTACATGTTTATGCTGCCTTGGGTGTTAGTCAATTCATAGTCTCAGGGAGGATTTCTAAAGTTCAAGAACTTAACTCCACTAAACAATGTAGCTTATATTGCAGAGATCAAGAAAGTAGCAATGACACCTGGAGAGGTTTCAAAGAGGTCAAGTTATCTTAGAACCACATAGGAGGTTGCTAACAACAGTAAGTCCCAACAGGATGGGAAGAAACATGGACTCAAGCAATTCCAGAAACCCAAAGCTAAAAGACCTTTCAGAATTGAAAAGTCATAACTCTCCTTATAGTTTCTAGCACATGCTCTGAGGCAGAATCACTTAAAATGCTGGATATCCAACAATAGTTTCTTGCCTAGACAAACAAAGGAAGAGCAAAATGATTTCCTAGGGAATCATTGAACATATTCAGCTGTACGGCATCACATATACCACCACAAAGGGCCCTTAAATATCCCCGTTTTGCAGAGGAGATTGGACAAGAACAATAACAAGTAAGAGATCTGTCTTCAAAGTAATGCTTTACATCATGCATAGTTAAATCTAGAGACTGTAAATGTAAGTTTATGAGATCTTTCCCCAGAATGTGGGCGAGGTGTGCAGCACTGAGTCAAAGGAAACTTTGTTTAATTTAGTCAAACCAGATACACTGACCCCTCCATCAACTGGGAGGGTTTGTGTATAGACTGTACAAGTGAACTTCCCTGTTTGGTTAACAGAAAGTAGTGTTTCATATAACTGAAACAGGAATGCCTCTACCATGTATATAAGGATTTACACCTGCTAGAACACAGACAATTTTAGATTATGCATATTTTTTTCAGAATTGCAGAATTTTTCTAGCTACCAGTTGCTTTGTTTTAGTAGCAATTTGTTGTTATTGTTAAGTGCCATTGAGTCACTTCCGACTCATAGTGACTCTGTGTAGGGTTTCTGAGGAGCAGCTGGTGATGTTGACCCACCAACCTTGCAGTTCAAACTAACCTTGAGGTCCTACAGCATCACACCAGAACATCTTGAAAACACTCAAAGTAATCAGATTTAGTGATGAAAATAGATACTATGATATTGTGCATTGCTTTAAGGCTGGGATCAACAAACTTTCTATAAAGGGTCTTTAGACCTTCAGAGCCTACAATATAGCCCAGAAGCAGGTATAGGTGATACAGAAATGAATGAGATTTACCTATGGACTATAAAATGTGAAGTTCTTAGAATTTTCACTTTGCAAAATATTCTTTTAATTTCTCCAGCCCTTTAAAGGTGTGAAAACCGTTCTCAGCTCCATCTCTGCAAAAATAGACAGCATTGCCTAATTTGACACATGGGTCATAGTTTATCAAACCCTGCTTTTTAAGGTCTGTCAATAGAAAAAACGGATTTTTTTTAAATCAAGAAAGGTTTGATTTTAAATCATTTCCCTCTGACCTAAATGTCATATTCAATCACTTGAAAGCCTAGTAAACCATTGCAAAAAAAATCACTTGAGAAAATGATACAT